GTCCAGTACACATTCGATCGCTTCGACGGATTGAGGGGTTGTTGAGGGTTTGGCGCATCACAGTTGGTTAACAATTACCTTCAGAGAGCCGAAGATGCTGTGGAACGTCTCGACGATTGCGTGGAGATGTATGGTAAGCTGCTGAAAGAGTCAGAGGCAGTGGAAGAGTTTTTGGATCAGCTCGAGTATCGCCTCGACAAATATGCATCGGAAGACAAAGTGCGTGAAAATAAGACTTAATACCTCCATCACAATTATTGATTTATTGATTGCAGGCGAACGACGAAGAAGTTGTCGAGGAGCTGGTAAGCGAGTGGAATCGTCACGAAGCGTCGCTAAAGAATCTAGAAGAATTAGAACGTCTCCTCCGTGAGAATGCTGTGAAAATCAGTGAGAGCGTCTGTGTAGAAAAGAGACGTCGAGCTGACGCGCTCAAAATGCGGCTGGACGGCTGGAGCAGGACGGTGCAGGTGAGAGATGGGCGTGGTTTATCAGAAAGGGTGTGGTTTGCCATAACTGCATGCTCCTGTGCAGCAGTACTAATCATCTCTTGATATGAATGAGGTCGCAGGGTTAGCAGGATTCAGCGCGGAAGTTAGTCATAGTGCAACAGCCCTCTTCACCAGCGCACTCAGCCGAAGGAGTGCAATTAACTCACCAGTTCGTGGGAACCACTTTATCTCTTTGGCGCAGCTCCACAAACGCTTGCGGCTATGTGCCGTTCCCAAGTTTTTGTTATCTGCAATTATGTGATATTAGATTGGTGGTAGAGCAAGAACCAACAGGGACCACCCCCCCCAAACGTTGGTAATCCATGGCAAAACGAGTCTCCCCTCCCTTGAGAGCAGGCTATTGGGATAGGTTCATCTGACATATTCACATTGGGGGATTATCGCTTAACTGAATACGATATAACACGACTCAAGGATAAGTGAAATGACTAATATAGAAGCAGGCTAGGAAGTACGGCCCAACTTCGCATTCAAGTAATTCCGAGATTCTAGATTGTATTTTGGTGCGTGCGCATCCACAAGAAAACTGACGACGGAAATTTACAGTAGCGCATCATTTGTTTGTGAATGAAGTAAATTGACTTTGCCGTAGAATCCATATCCCCACCTTTCCCCTGCCCTCTGCAACCCTTCCTAAGAGGCATTTCATCTGCATGAAACCCCCCAACTTTTTGTTTGGGGGGGTGGGGGGTGAACCTATCTATCGGCCACCTTTACAAATAGGTGCCGTTTGATTCTCACAAACTAATTGTTCCTGCTCCCTGTTTATGCCATTGCTATACAAAGTTGATTGCTTTCTTTTTTTCTTCAATCATTTTTCTCTTTTCCTAGGAAATGAATAATGACGAAGATACACTGCTTATGCAAGTTGATGAGCTTCATGACTATTTGGTGAATGAGCTTGATAAAGTCAAAGATAAGGAACCAGAGGAGGTGAGCGATTTCCTACATCTTAAGGTTGGCTGTCTGAAAAGTCACGCACCCTTTTCCATTATTTCACAGAACTCTGCCCCATTCGCATCGAATTTCTACCGTCGACCGTGATCGCCTGTCATCGCGCGCGCGTAAACTTGCCGCAATCAATCCACGAATGGCGAACGCGAATCTGTGCGGCGATGTGACGGAGCGTTGGCAGCAGCTTGAGTCTAAACTACACGCGCCACCAGCCGCACCGCAGGCTATGCTCGACAGTACGCTGAGTTGAATGTTCTTTGCCGTTCCATGAAAGGTGTTTTGGTTCATTGAACTTATTGGTTCACGCGTCTCTGATCTAGCCTCCTTGAAATTCTAAAAAGTGTTTTGAAGAAGCTGAAAACAGCTTTGAGAAATTTGAGACGTTTACATTTGGCTTCAAGCCTTGCAGCTCCACAGAATCAACTATACGGTGCAAAATTTGCAGGGGATCCTGATATTTGCGCTAGGGTTCTGGGTGGAAAGGTGCAGGATCAAGTTGAAGTAGTACCGCAAAGTGAACAGATCATATTATAAAAGCAAAAAATCAAAATCTTCACTAAGGAGGAAGAGACCGTATGTTTTCTTCCTTCTAAGAGGGTTTATATTTTGAATCGCTCAAGGCTCACAAAATGAAAACAAGTGGGCGTGAAAGACAGTGGAAAAGTTTTCCGTATGCCGGATTTTGGTTTGCGTGCGGCTGCACTTGTTCGCTTTTTACGTCTCAAAACCAGTGCTGATAATCCGCTTTTGCGTTCTGATTTCTCCTGCCACATATTCTAAAAATTTTGACTTTTTAACAATTTTGCGTTTTTTTTTCATTTTCCTCGATTCTTATTTCTTATAATATAATGTGTGGGCGGAAGTGGTGTAGTGGCAAGTGGCACGCTTACCACGCGAGCGGTCCGGGGATCAAATCCTGGGTCGTGAGTCGCCCGGGCCAACCAAGCCTTCCATCCCTCCGGTTAATTGGTACCAGACTTGTCTGGGAGGATAAAAACACTGACTTGTACATCGGCTGGCCCCCGCAAGTCATTGTATAGGCCACATCGCATTGCCACTACGAATGTACAAATGGAAGTAGAATGCGTGCCGCATCCCAAAAGGGATTGATCAACGGCAAATGCTTTATCCTTTTTTTATCCTTTAATATAATGTGTCTAGTGTCGAGCTGGATCTACATTCATTGATCTTAAATCAAAAGTGGCTCCTGTCTTCCCTGCTTTTTTACTTTTCAAACGCCTCGTGAAGAAGGAATTGTTGAGCTATAGTTAGTAGAAGTGTACTGTAACAATTTGATGGTGCTCTTGGTTTTTTCTTACGATCTGCCTTATGCAGCGTTACAAATAAATAAATAAAACTTCGGTGACATTTTTTTGAAAAGGA